AGCTTACAAGTTTGTCATAGTGCTTTTACAAGGCTTAGGAAGACCAGAGATCAAAATAGCGATCGAAACACAACGTTTATCTTAACATAGATATTTGCGTGATTGACATCATTACAGGGAAGCCGCGATCTAATAATTAACAACTTAGTTAAGAACTCAGTTCTGCTATTCGCATGCGGCTAACACCAGCAATGTATATATATATATATATATATATATATATATATATATATATATATATATATACATGTTTGATTAAAAATAACTGCTGACTCAGCTTTTTGAGCTTTTTGCTTTTTGACGAGCTTTTTGATGCGCCTTTGACTTTGCGTAATCACTTAGATTAAAGATGGTTCGCACAAAATTACTCATGTATTCATCACTCCTTCCATTCCAACGTTTCGAGATCTTATCTCATCTTCAGAGAAGACTAAATTGCACAAGAAAGAAGTTTTGAGTTTTAAAGGATGAAAAATTGTGCACTACTGTTGGAAAACATCTTTTGGTACGGAGAACATAAATGAAGCATAGCTAATTGAAGTAAGACGGATTGCTATTTTCATCTTCATACATGTAAGAAACACTCATAATGGGAACATCACAAAGACACAATGGGAACACTATTGTCACAATCACATCAGAGGTGCTCACCGCCCACCACCTAGTAGCTCAAAAGTTCTGCAAGAATTTGTCTGTCTGTTTAAGGCCGGAGAGAGTTCGCTGATGAATATGCTTTCCCAAATTTGAAGGCGTCTTCTGTCACTGCACGTCCGCAAAATGTCAGTGCCGTCCATCAGTTGTTGTCGTGTCAATGTCATGTTGTGTTCGTGTCGCATGTGGTCCAGAGGTGCCCCGTCACGTAAGTGCATTGTCAGGCGTCGTGAGAGTGTCGTTGTGGTCACACCAATGTAGTGTATGGGACGAAGTTTGCAGCCTTCGATGTTGCATTGGAATTGATACACTACATTGGTGCATTTCAGTTTGTCGGGTTTGTCTGGGCTGTTTCTCATAAGAAAGTTCGATATTTTCCTATTACAATAGTAAATGACAATGTCTATTTTGTGGTCGTTTTTGCCTTTAACATGTTGAGAGATAATTTCCCGTAAAGCTTTTTTGTCCTGTTTGTGAGCAGATGTCATTTGATTTTGATAGTACAGTTTGACGGTCGGTTGGATGTCTTGCCTTGGTTTGCTTCCAAAGTGTCTTGTCATATGTTTATATGTAATTTAATAAGATACATATGACACATATAATACATATGTAATTTAAATGAGATGGTGACCTTTTGCTCAGAAATAGTTATCTGGGTTTTTGGGGCACTTTGGAGGCCAACCTAGAATTTGACCTTGTTTGACCTTATTTGACCTGAAGAACGTAACCTAGCAAGCTCAAACGTTGACCTAATTGAGTTCACGTACAGGTCAACACACCCTGTAAATTTGGTGCCTCTAGCTCTCTTAGTTCCCGAGATCTCAGGGGGTCAAATTGCCCCTCCCCCCCACCCCCACCAGAGCGAAGGGTATCTAGCCGGCCACCCGGGCGCGTGTTAAAGGTTCGTTTTGTGCTTGGGCTACCAATTGCGAACTGATGCGTTCTGAAGATTTTAGAAGATGCCCCCCCCCCCCCCTCTTGTGGTATCTCTGCGGCGCCATCACGATCGTCTTGTGGCGCCCCCCACATGGCCCGTGCCTCGAAGTTCAGGTGCATTCGTGGGTGATTTCGCGCAGCATATTGAGAAGTTGTTGTCTTCGCTGTTGGCCTTGACCATCGGCTAGGATGGATGTTTCACCATGTGCGTCGCCTTGGGTGCAGCATCGCGTCGCCACTCAGCCGTAAGAGAAGCCTTCGTTTGCCGGGCATGTAACCATGACACGCTTATTTGGCGATTTGCATGGGCTGTTGGTATGCTGAGCCCGGGGCAGGTTGCCCACTGCTGCCATCTGGCACCCCTGTGCCTGTTGGTACACTGAGCTTGAGGCGGGTTGCGCACCGGCAACCCTTCTGCACTCCTATGCCTGTTGGTACACGGAGCTGGGGGCAGATTGCCCACTGCTGCTCTCCTGCACTCCTTTGCCTCTTGGTATGCGGAGCCTGGGGCAGGCTGCCCATCGCTGCCCTCCTGCACTTCTGTACCTGTTGTTACGCTGAGCCCGGGGCAGGCTGCCCACTGCTGCTTTCCTGCACTCCTGTGCCTGTACCAGCTCATCACCACCATGGCAGGGAATCGACAGTCACGTAAGGGTGTGCGTGAACTGATACAGATGGAGTGAGATCGGGTGCTGCGGAACCGTCGTCTTCTAATGGGGGCAACAGGAGTACTTAGTTGGCGTCAAACCATTCAGTGACCATGCCCTCGGTTTGGGAGCTGCGCCGAATTCGACCCGGACCTCCCGTGTACCAATGCCTTCCGGCATTGAGCTCTGTCCCCGGTGTATTTCAGAGGCGAACATGCGTTCTAGGTGTCGATTTGTCCATCCGTTTCTGGCTGCGTAGGGACCACGGTGTGCAGGCGGACGCGCGTAGCCGCCACGCCAGGTCGTAGCCGCTAACCCTGGTCACATTAGCACATTGAAGGCGGTTCAGTCTGGGGGCCTTCCCGTTCCGTTGTGATCCGATGGTGCAGAATGCGTGGGCCCGTTACCTGCGGTGATGTTGTTTCTCTTAAGGTGTTACCATACATGGTCTCCCCACACTAATTGACGAAAGGAATATGTAATAGGTACGTGACTTTGCTCAGACCACGTGTTGTGTGGCTGCCTTGGAACTTCTGGGCAGATGACCTATGGGCTATGACCCGGCATGTGATTTAAATGGAACTTAATTCGCAGTCACGTGACCTGGGATAAGGTGGAGCTAGCCATTGTAGCCATGGTTTGGTGCATTCCTAAATGCTAATAAGCTGCTTGTTAACTCAAAAGTGGGAAGGAGATTTGAGCCTCCTATCACTCGAGTGTTTCACTATCTTACGTTGCCCCAGTCCGTTAATAACATCGGCGAAAACATTTAAGCGGAGGAGATGAAATGGGTATGAGCCAGGTAGCGCAGATGCTAGTACAAGGGCTTGCTAGTGCAAGTCGTGTGTGGCTCTTAAATTGCACGAGACGCTCGCCAATGACACTGGATGACGCGCCAACGATGTCTGCAATTTGAGAGCCGCGCACGACGCATGCGGCAGTTAGCACATGGTTTGACTCACGCGTGTTTGGGCCCTCTTAGTCCGGTTGCCGTATCTGACCTGACACTGAACTGTCGCGAGCAGATTTGCTTGACGGTAGTGATGGGCTAGACCCCACAAGGCCACGTTAAGCAAAGGGGGATGGACATCGACGCTCCGACGTGTGACGTTTCAACACGCACGGCTCGCTCCATGGTTATCTTGAAATATGTGAGCACTGGCTGTTACAGGGCGATGGCGGACCACCTCCAGTGCGGTATGTGCTTCCAGGCATACAATGCATCTTCGCGCCTGCCCAAGTTCCTCAAGTGCAGCGGCGGCATCCAGCACACATTCTGCCTGCAGTGTCTGCGGAAGCTGACTATTAGTGGCATCATGATCTGACACGCGTCGCTCACTCGGCCGACTCCCTCAAGAACAACATCTACCTGATGCCACAGATTGAGGCAACTGCCTAGGCTGCTTCAGCTCAATCAACGGTCAGTAGTGCTGGTATTTGAGGTCAACGCTGTTATGATGAATCCGTTAGGACATTCAATTGTCGTTTTTTTGTTAATGCTTTGATATTTTCGTTGCTATTTTGCTTCGCTATCTGATGGCGGTTCGGCTCATCGAAAACATTATCGGTCAGTCACATGCGTACGCAATTGTTACATGTGCTGCTGACTGATATGCTATATTTCCATGAGCCACCTTTTACTCTTTACCATGTATAGTTTTGGGAAGGTCGGGCTCTAACACCAGATCTCTAGCATCCCTGGGGCGGGCAGTACACCATATTGGTACCATGCCTGGAAAATGCTTTATATTGTGAAGACGCACCAATATGGTGTTGGTGCCGTCAACCGAATGTAAGTTTTCAAAGTGACGGAGTTTCCGGTGTTCCTGCATGTGTTTGGTTTGAATGGACGCGTGTTGAAACCGTATCAGCTCGAACAAGATTAGAATGGTTATCGAATTTGCCACCGCGGTCACCTTTTGGTCGTATCGCCACGCTCGGAGGTGTGACCACCTGCCTCAATCAGCTGCAATCATACAGGATCAAACAAGCACACTACTGCCTTCTGTGACATTTTGTTCGTGTGCCTGCCATCTCCTCCTGCTTCTCCTCGGAATGGTGGTGTTGTGGTTATGGCCCGCTCCGTCCTAAGCAGCCCATGTTTTCAGGGGACGGCTCTTGCGGCTGACGGGGTGGCGTTGCAGCCGCCGGTCGTCTCCGGTGAGCATTGGCTGATCCATGATATTAGAGCTCCATGTATTGCCCCTTGCCGTGTTTGGTGGTCAGTCCTAATGCCAGGTCTTCTTCCCGGGCCTGATGTCACAAGCACAAATGTGAGGGAGGCCCTGAAAACCTGCCCTCTTTGCTGCAGTAAAAAACACTTGGTTGGTGGAATGTGATGTCCTCCATGCGCACTGTCGAGTCACAGGGGACCAACGGAATTATACCGCAAGCCAGCAAAAAGTTCAACCTGACCTTTCGTTAGGTCAATTTGGGGCTAGTGGGCGTGGTACGGCCGTCTGATTTGAAGTATGATTCCACGTATATCTCATGTTGGACTGGCCTTCGTGCCAATGTAGCAGGTGTACCTTTCATATCTAAGCCATCGGGTACGGGACTGCTCGTCTCTTTAATTACGAAAGAGACCTTAAGCCGACCGGGGCGGCGGCCGCGTGCTACCCCGGGCCGTCCGTCCGCCGTTCGGACCGGCCCTGTCTCGTGCCACCGCCGTTACCTCCGCGGCCGCCGCCCCCAGAGCCGGCGCCAGGCCCGCGCTGTCCTGTCTGCCGGCTGCCGTTCCGCTCGGCCGCCACGTTGCGCGGCCACATGAACCGGCACACGGGCCAGCGGCCGCACCGCTGCCCCGACTGTCCGGCCGCCTTCGCCTCCCCCTCGACGCTGTTCATGCACCGGCGCTTCCGCCACACGGGCGAGCGGCCGTACGCCTGCCACGTGTGCGAGCGCCACTTCGCCACGCGCGCCATCCTTCTCGTGCACCGGCGCCGCCACACCGGCGAGCGGCCGTTCAGCTGCCCGCACTGCGCGCGCGCCTACACGAGCCGCAACGCGCTCAGCCAGCACGTGCGCTCGCACGCGCCCGCCGCGCTGGTGACGGAGATCGTGGTGACTGTGAACAGGCGGGCGCACGCGAGCCTTCGGTGAGAAGCGGGCGCCGCGCCGGTGACGGAGATCGTGGTGACTGTGAACAGGCGGGCGCACGCGAGCCTTCGGTGAGAAGCGGGCGCCGCGATTGCCAGGTGCGCTGGAAGTTGCGTGGCACGCGGCGCCGGCGGGTTCCCGCGGCGCGCTGTCGACTGGGGAGCGGGTGGCTTGAAGGAGTGTCGGCCCGCTCGTGTATGTCGGTGACTCTCCGAGGTCGTCGCCGTTCCTCGGCCACGCCCAAGCCTGAGCCGGCTTTTTTGCACGACCAGCGACCTTTCCATTGCTGTGTCGTCTTAACGCGGAGCAGATTCGGCGGGCCTCGCATGTGCAAGAATGCCTTGTGTCCCGCTTCTCGAGCTGTTTAACGGTGATTTTCTTGTCCGATTCTGAAAATAAATTCCTATGTATTTGTTGCATCCTTGGACTGTTTGTGTATCCCCTCACCTCAGCTTCGTATTGCCACAAGATTACTGACCGTCATAGCACATCTGGTTACCACGCGAGGACACTGTAATATGTTTAGCAGTGGATTCCCATGACGACCAAGACCCCGACATCAGCCAAAATGTTAAAATGTCTCTCACGGCAAGATGTCCGCGCGACATCCAACGCAACGTACCTCATAAGCCCCTAGAGCATTTAGGGGCTCTAGGAAACATTTGTACGGGTTGTTTGATACGACAGTAAAGTTGTACGGGTAAAACAGATTATTCAGCTTTCAGCCACGTAAGCGTCAACCCGAATCTTCGACTTTGGATTCCTGAGATTCGGACCGGGGTCCCTCCCGGTTAGCCCAGTGGTAGAGCGCTTAACTCGTCAAAAGGCCTCGTTAGAAGGCCTCTGTTCACACCCAATAATTTCAAGTAGAGTTCCAGCTGTAATGGCTGATCACGGCTGCAGGTAGAACACAATCCAGGAGTGTCTTCCCTCTTGGAACTCCTGCGATTGCAACTGGGGTCTTACGAGTACTTATAATTCATTAATAGCACCTAGCGATGGTCAGAGCTCGCTGGCCGAAACGTCGTGAGATACTAACACACCAGCAGATGACGATAGCACCAACTGGTTCCATCCATCGGCAGCGTTCAGAGCGTCTCGGACGAACGGAAAGCCGACCACGCTACGGCGACGAATAACCTCAGCCACCTGGATGAATCATGGAGCGATTTATGGGTGGCGTAGGACGAAGCGTGGTTCGAACTACTGCATTCGCCACGCTAGGGATACTGGACTGTATGGGCACCGTGGAGCTTGGAGGCGGCGGCGCTGGCTGCCACACCGGCTCGACATATAGCGTGATGTACCGTTAGTGATGTCTGGGTATACCGCATCCCAGAAACAGAGTGCTGAAGCTGTGCGAGTCAGGGCCATGCGCGGAGAGCCACCAAAAGAGCACACCTGAGCCGAGCTTCTATGCCTGTATTGGGAACATCGGGCGCACAAGGGTCAGCCGCGGGACGGATCGCGCCGGCCGCTGAATAAGAGCACACCTGAGCCGAGCTTCTATGCCTGTATTGGGAAGATCGAGCGCACAAAGGTCAGCCGCGGGACGGATCGCGCCGGCCGCTGAATCCGAACAGAGACAGGTCTTGTTTGCCGTTTACGTACCGCACGACGGTCATCAGTCGCGAAAGAGAACAGCATCAACCCACACTTTCCGAGCACCTCTGCATTGACGCCAGTTCTGCGCCCGGCACCTCCACCACGGGCATCGCGGCAGCGGAGACAGCCGCGCTGAGAACCAAGCGCTGTCTACCATGTTTAGTCGACAGGCAGCCGCTGCCCGAATCCGCCCACAACGGACCGCCGAGGGCGCCGTACTGTACTGTTCAATCACATCGCACCTGTCGTGCTCTAGGTGGTCTTAGAAAAAGGCAAAGCGAGTGGTACGCCAAACAGCGAGTACAAAACATAACGCACATAGAACGTGGCAGACTTCAGCTTAATGGTGGAGCATGCCCCGCTCGGATTAACGATACCATAAGCACTGCGAAACATGGCAGGCTATGATTAACAGGGAAAACCAATGTGCAAAAGAATCACCGTCTTCAGCGTTACAACTCGCCACTATATATAAGCATACAAAAAGCGCACGCCGAAATATTCTCGGCCAAAGCAGTCACAGCACAATGTGACAAAACAAAATCCGCCAGGTAGCAACACACCATATGCTTGGCGGAACACAGTCAAATACAAAGACCCTACTGGTTGGATCACATCTCGTGGTCCAAGACATATAGCATACAGCCAGCGCTTACTAGACCTAAGCAGCATACGTCGTGTGCACAGGACACATCAGAAAGGCCACCCGAAACTGTAAGGCCCTGGGTTGCTGGTTGTGCCGCGTTCCATATAATGCAATCTGACGAACAAACTGCCACGTGCAGGACACGGTCTTTCGCAAAGCGTTTTCCGATATGAACGGGCGCCACCCATAAAGCATACCACACGGCTCTGCCAGGTGGGAGCCACCAAAAATATCAGCTTTTCTAACGCGAGCTGCTTATCATAACATAGCCATTGTTCCCACTCCAGATTAGCATTATCGCCCACCCAAAATCCTATCTTATCCGACGCCGTGCAGTCCATCGGCATCACAATCACACAAACAGCCTCGGCTTGGCCGGGTCGCGTCGTCACCGTCAGCGTCTGGCGCCGTATGTAGTCAGCGCCCGGCGCAGCTGGCGCCGCATGTAGTCAGCGCCTGGCGCAGCTGGCGCGGCGTGCCGTCAGCGCCTGGCGCAGCTGGCGCCGCGTGCCGTCAGCGCCCAGCGCAGCTGGCGCCGCGTGCCGCCCCGCCCGGCAGCGACGACAACATCAGTGCCGTGCGGCCGCTACTGGGTGTGCCGCTTGGCGGAAATGAGCCGAACCTGGCGCCAGATAGACGGCCCGTCCATGGTCTAGATCTTACGCACCAGGTCCAACCCCTGGCGCACGTAGCCGAACACCAGCGTGTAGCGGTACGGGCGGTAGTCGCGCTCCTCGGAGACCCAGATCATGAACTGCGAGCCGATCTGACCTGATCTGATCTGATCGATCTGACGATCTGACCGCGCTTGTTGCCGTCGACGATCACCGTGCCTGCAATGAGCCGTCACACAGCGTCAGTCATGCCGACAAACCACCACCACCGCTGGGACACGAGCCCACTGAGGCATCACTCACCAAGACAGCCACAATACGGCCAGTCAACAGTGGCAGGGCATCCAGCCACTCCGAAGCTGCATGTCTGCACATGCATTTGCTGCCTCTGCTTCGACGGTGCCTGACAACACACCGCTTGCCATTCGCCAGGTGCCCCAGCGGATAAAACACGGGTGCGCAGACATCCAGCACCACAAACCGAACATCGTCAACACGCAGTTCGAGTCACAAGAGTAATTCGATTATTTGGGCACGTGCAGTCTGCTGACCGAGTCACCAAATTATCATAGCATACTTTTAAACTAGCATAAACATACCATGCTAGCGCACCATCAAACAGCAATCACTACATAATATTGACAAAGCATATCAAAATATAAAATCAGCACAGCATGATTGCCTACAAAGCAAGATGTGCATGTTTTGCACATCTGGTATGGCTGTGAATATATGCATGTAAGATGTATATATTCATATAGCTATGTAGATACGAAATACGATGTATAGCTGTGAAATTAAGGCACTTCGGGTTCCACAGCTCTGTAAGGCATCCTACCCATCTCAGTACATGAGCAGTGTATTTCGCGGACGGCAGCGGAGGCCCATCGGAGACAGCCTGCCGTCGCCAGGCCGGCCGATCTCGCCACGCACCCATGCCCTTCATGCCTATGGCGCCGCACTCGTCCTGCAGCGGACACATGTCGGCGGCGATGAACTTCTTGCCGGAGTCGGCCAGCAGAGAGAAACCCCCGTCGTCGTCCACCCGGCCGCCGAGCAGGTAGTCGTTGGCGAAGTGAAACCCTACGGAAGGGTGGCGTTCGGCGGCGTCAGGCGGGCCACGGAGGGGCACAGCTCGAGCGGGGCGGCGCTCGGCGGCGTCAGGCGGGCCACGGAGGGGCACAGCTCGGGCGGGGCGGCGTTCGGCGGCGTCAGGCGGACCGCGGAGGGGCGCAGCTCGAGCGGGGCGGCGCTCGGCGGCGTCAGGCGGACCGCGGAGGGGCGCAACTCGGGCGGGGCGGGGTACGGCGGCGGCCGGCCGTGCTCGGCGGACACAGGCGGCCACCTTCTATTGTCACGTACTTTTGTCACCGCTCGTCTAGTGTCTGTTTCGGATGTTTCGACTGCACGGGCCGTTTGTCGTTTCTTTCTGTTTTGTTAAATGGCTCGGATAACATGGTGTGGTAAATTCCCACGGGTCAAATCATGACCTCACACTGGAAAGGATCGCGGGTCCCCTTTCATCAATCCGTGATGCATACGCAGCGCCCTCGTCCTCTCGACAGTCAGCACGTGGGGTCGGCACGCGCCACTCACTCGTGTTGTTGTACAATCCAGCGTCGCACAGCGAGATGAAATTCTTGCACATGATGGGCGCCATGTCGGGCCGCAGCTCGATGATGACGTCACCCGTGTCCGTGCCGGTCGTGACCTGCAGGCGGTAGTACGGGCGGCCGTCGCCGCGTAGTGCCCGCGGCACGGCCGCGGCACACGCCGGCGCCGGCTCCACCGGCGCGCTCGCCTGCTTCAACACGTCGGAGAACGTCATCTTACGGGCCGCCGGCCCGCTCGACACGGCGCCGGTGGCCGGAGAGACGGCCTTTCCAGTGACCGGGTCGATGACGTGAATGCGATGGACATTCGCACCATGGCTGGACACGGACGTGACCGTTACCGTGCCAGTGGCTCGTCCATCGGGTAAGACGACGGCACGTTTTCCACTAGCCGTTCCACTGGACTTGGCAGCTTCGACAGCGCTTGCGCTCTTATTCGTCAAGGTGGCTTTTCCGACGGCTTTATCATTCGCGGGCCCATTAGACGTGGTGGTGTCGTTACCTTTAACGGAGCGATTGGGCGAAGCTGCGATGCTGCTGGTGATCTTGCTATCATTGGCTGTAGCAGTTGCTCTATCAGATGCTACACTGTTCACTTTGGTGGCGGCTTTACAGTTTGCCGTTTTGCCGTTGGCGGTCTTGCCGGCTGTGTCCCCGGGTGTGGTGCTGGTTTTACCGTTGGCTTTATCCTTGGCTATGGTGACCGATTTGCCGGCAACATAGGATACATTGTCAGTTTTACCAGTGTCGCCGGAGGCGCTTGCAGCTTTGCTAATGCCACTGGGGGCTTTTACAGCGCCGCCCTGTGCACTAGCAGTATTACCACGGGTTACGTTGTTGGATTCTTGGCTTCCAATTGCCTCCGCCTTTTCGTTATCATCAGACGATGCCATATGATCCAAAGAATACAGGACAATGCTTGCGCCCATCAACGCTTTCACAACATCTTCATCGCGCATCCAATCACCAACGGCAAACGTGGTGCGTGAGCCGTTGGTCCGTAAGGACACCTCTGCATTGGAGTCGAGTAAATTCTCACATCTACGTGCCAGACTGGAAGTTTCTTCCAAGCTCGTCATGGAGTGGAATATATGCGATTCCACATTTTTGTAAGTGTCCGAGAGATCTTCATTCGGGAGGAACTCAATAGCTTCCCGTTTCCTCTCCAATTCTCGCAAAATATCATCATCTAGTTGTAAGTCCATATCATAATATTCTATAGTTCTACCAACGGATTTGGCGGCGGCCGCAAGGACGTTGTACGCTTGTCTATAGAGATCGAGCGTGGTCGATCGTTTGATTTTGATGGCCTCCGTGTTTTCGGCGCCCTTCAAGGCCATCCCTCGCAGATCCTCGCGGACTTTCGACAGCCTCCGCAGCTCGTGCTCTCCGCACTTCTCAGTCGCCAACGTCACACAGCTGACGCAGAACATCTCTAAACTGCGGTAAAGACAAAACGTCAACACGGGGAGAAAACATACGGCTGTTCAAGGTAAATGAAAAACGTGACATAACACAGCTGTTCATCATCACCGATAACCCCATAGTCGTTCAATACCTTCGGGCATACCAAACTGATAAGGCTGTTAGCACCGCCAGGACACACGCCGCTGTCATAACGACACAACCTCGTTTTCGAAATTTCAGCCCAGACATCACGCCACACTCCCCATACGTGGCCGACGTGTTTCCATGAGACGCATGCTAGGTTTCTGAGTATGCAACAAGTTGCGCTTCCGCAATCATTGTTGCGGACATCTTGTGCTATTGCCCCAGTTCCCTCCAGCACAGGCAACGATGCATCAGCACGCACCCAGATCCTTTTCGAGGAAAGTTATCCCGGACAGATATTTTGTATCTTAAGCATGGAAAATAGATGAAAATTATCTGCTGGTAAAACGGTGTCTGCCGAAAGGTGCTGGTCGGCCCATTTCCTGCCTTTCTTTCTACACCCGCCGAAAGCCGTGCACATGCATTTATAAGCACGCCTTCCAGGCAAACAAATCGTGTTTTCGGGTCGCTACGTCGTGCAACGCGCTTGCACTACGTGCAACGCGCTACGTCTCGCGCGCGCTTATGCGCATGACCTATCACTTTGGCACAACATCTGTCCAGCGATTCATCTTTGAGGTCGTAACTATTCTGGCAAATGGGATCGTGTCGCCATGGCTATTAGAACGGTTTCAAGGAGAGGGGGATCTATGGTCACGCCTCCGAGCGTGGCGATACGACCAAAAGGTGGCCGCGGTGGCAAATTCGATGACCACTACCCGACCCGACCCGACCACTAACGGGCGAAACTGAACCGAAGTGCGCCGAATGCGAGATGACATTTTAAATGTTGTACTAGTCATGTCATTAGTCATGTATTAGTCCACATGTCATTCTGCTATGATTTCTGGATGACACAAATTAGTGCTACTATCCTCTCGCATGTGCAATACGCTGTGAGAGTGGATAGATTCAGACGGTTAGCACAAACTAAGATAGGTAGATCACGGATGTTTTTATTGGGGACGACAGTCCACGCATAAGGCGCAATACTAAACCTACCACGGCACGTAGCGCAGCCTGAGACGACATCGCTCATTGTGTACGCCGGAGATGCTCGTCTGATTGGCGAGAAACAGTGGTCAGTATTCATCTGGGAGGGCTGCTTGATTGTAACCAATAACAATAGTGTAAACGCACTAGGATTTCATGAATTCATAAGTGGCTCAGGAAACGCCAACATTGTTCGGTCTGCTCACATTGCTAGTCTTGGGGCAGGGACAGTGCTGCAGTATAAGCAATGTCAGGTGTCGGATATTTGCCGTTCCCGTGGTGCAGACGAAAGTCGCCGGAGTCATTATCCGTCGAAAACGGGTGTGCGAGCTTCGTACTCGGCGCGTTGCTTTGACCAAGAGGGATCAACTGATAACCAGCCAAAGAGGGTCCTCGGTCCGGGGCGGCCGTGTTGCAGCGCTGCACAACGCATAGACCCTCTGCAAAAATATTTCTGTTTACGAGGGAGACCGGAGGTAATACTATGCGCTGGACTAGATCGCCTAATACGGGCTTTGGGTCCTGTTTTATGTCTGAGCGCACGCAACAAGCTCCGCTTAGTCAGTGCTTTGATTCTGATTAGTCAAGACATCAGTTGGGGCATATACTGTCCAACAGAGGCAACCAAAAGTCGTTTCTAATGGAGATTGGTGCAAATGCACTATAGATGTTATGAGGCACCTTGCGCGACAAAACCATTCAGTCGTGAAAGCAATGTTAATACACTAAACTAAAAAAATCGCTTGCAATGCCTACATTTTCCGCGCGAATGCATGCTTTCCTGGCTTAGCTCCAGCCAGATCAATTATGGGATCGTTTTTCTTTCCAGCATGGGCAAACAAGAAGGCCGTTCGACGTCACTGAAGTTGCAGCCTGGTCCCAATTATCACAAGGCACAGTCATGCGGTATTGTATCCAATTATATCCGTACAGATCTGCATTCGAAGCACACATCGTATCTCCCGAAATGTGATTGATGATACTGAATAAGGCAGCGTTTGAAGAGTCGAATTATTTGCAATGGATTCCTGAACAGCTTTTCCACTCTTTTCCATTCTCACCGCATCCATCACGTCTCCCCCTGAGAACCTCGCTTCACCTTACGTCCCATTCATCACTTCCTTATATCACCAATCCTCCCATCCACCAATCTCTCCCCTCATCACCTGAGCCTCATTGGTTCCCTCCCGTCCATCCTTTATCACTCGCTTTTTACCTCCTCTCCTCATCCCTTACTCCCTTCCCCTTCATTCTCACCCTTTCTACACTCCTCCGCGGCCCCATCGCCATAGCACCTTCGCAGTTCGACCCGCAAGTTGATCTGGCCGGAGGCGGGCGCAAGAGACGGCGGCACCACAGCCAGCTCCAGCGGCTCGCTGGTCGGCAGCAGACGGTACCGGCGCAGCATGTGACACAGCGCCAGCTTGATCTCCATCAGGGCGAACCGCTTGCCGATGCAGTGGCGCGGCCCAGCGCCGAACGGCATGTAGCTGCAGGGCACGATACGCGGCTTGTTTTCGGCGCTAAACCGCTCCGGGTCGAACCGCTCCGGGTCGGGCCACAGGTCCGGGTCGTAGTGCATGCGGAGTGGCACCACAGCCAGGAATGTGCCGCGTGGGATGCGTACGCCCTGTACCTCCGTCGTGGCGTTCGACTGCCGACCGAACTTCTCCACGGGTGGGTAGAGACGCAGTGACTCCTGGATCACCATCTCCAGATAGGGCAAGCCGAGCACGGCCTCGTAGTCGAGGTCGCCGCTAGCCGGCACGTTAGCCGCGATCTCGTCGTACAGACGGCTCTGCACGGCCTGGTGCCGCGCCAGCAGGTAAGATGTGAATGCTAACGCCGTACTCGTCGTCTCATAGCCGGCGCCGATAAAGACGTAAGCGTTGGAGAGCAGCTCTTCTTCGGTGAGGGCTTGGTTGCTGCTGTCGGCGCGCTGCGCCGCCAGCAACAACTGCAGGACGTCGGTAGTTACTGTACCGCTCTGCAGGCGGTGCTGGATGACGCCGCGGAGCCAGCGCTGCAGCTGCTGGTCCACACGGTAGACACGAGAGGCAGGCCCGAAGGTGCGCAGCAAGGGCTGCAGCAGGCGCGTTAGCGGCTGGAGACCGTGCAGGAAGTTCATCAGTGGGATAGAGCCGAGAATTGTAGTCATCATGACCATCAGCGGGTCGTGCTGGTCCGTCTGGCAGTGCACGTCCATGGCCAGAGCACACTTGCCGATCACTTCCAGTGTCAGGCGGCGGAAGGCGACGTATACATTGGTCGGCTGGCCCTGGAGTCTGTTGCTCTCCAGTACGTCTAGAAATGTTTGGATGGACCTGTTTATAGCCGGCGACATTCCCTTCAGCTTGTTGGTGGTGAAAGTCGGACTGAGCACGCGTCGGACATGCTTCCAGCGCTCGCCCCTCAGCCTTAGCAGACTGTTGTCTGGGATAGTCAGCACCGGACTCTTGAAGGCCCCATGACGGTCGGGGAAGATATCGCATCGCTCAGTAAGCACCTCACGGACTAGGTCCGGGTCTGTGGTATACAACAGTGGCCTCGTGCCCATGTACAGCGCTAACGTCTTGCCTCGGCTTCCGTACTGCACTCCGTACTCATTGAACAAGCGTCGAAGCTCCTGTGGGCCAGTGGGACCGACGAGTTTGGCAGAGTTTCCTCGAAGCAAAGTATATGGTGGCACGGTATGTCCAAATCTCTGGAGCGTCTGAAACTTGTACAGCCTCCTTCTGCAAATACAAAGAATGCGGTGAGCGCATACAAGAAGATACATAGCAGCATAACCCACCGCTAGATTAGAAGATTCATCATCTGGATCGTTAACGGGGGTCTGGCAACGGTCTGGGTTCAAAGCCTTGAGTTTGAGTCAAAGTCTGAGGTCTGGCGTCTTGAGCCCAAGTCCCGGAGCCGAGTTAACCCCGCCCGCATAAGTGGGTCAGCGTCCCGGGCCTGAGTCTGACGATCTTATGACCGATACGAAGTCAGTGTCCCGGGCCAGGGTCTAATGATCTTGTGACCGATACGAAGTCAGCGTCCCGGGCCTGAGTCTGACGATTCTTGTGACCGATACCAAGTCAGCGTCCCGGGCCTGGGTCTAACCATCTTGTGATCGATACCAAGTCACAGTTCATCTAATTACACCGCCGGAGGAGATCTCGTTTTCCGATAGGTTCGTAAGATCCGGCCCTCATTCCCGGGCCTTGAGAAAGATTGCAATTTGAAGTTCATTGTTATTGTGCGACGCCGTGGGGATGCACATTGTGGAAGGTAAGTGTAAAGAACGTGAACAGGTGTATGTTTATGCGTGGATATATATATATATTTATTTATTTATTTATTTATGCATACAGAGGCACACATACACTTATACATGTATATATATATATATATATATATATATATATATATGTCTAAATACGAGTGTATATATAGTGTATGTATTTATAAGGTGTGTGTTTGTGCGTGTGTGTGTGTGTGTATTGCAGAAGAAATAGCTCTTAAGCAATGGAAATAACGGTGCGCTGCAAGCCATGATAATCTGACCCAGCACAAAAAAGCGGAACAACCCAACCTACCCAAATTATCTTAATCCGACCTAAGCTGACGAAGCGCAGCTAAATCCAACTTGCTTCTCCTGGCGTCTTGTCATGGCAGCATGAGAAGAGTTTGTCACAATTGTAGGTCTATCCCAGCTAAGGTTGCACGTTTCCCACAAACGCACGTTGCTGCGCGCACTTACATGAACAGAACGACAATTCCTCCTGCGACGAGCGTCAAAAGAGCCAGCCACGGCACGGTGCTCGGTACCAGGAGCGCCATCTGGCTGCTGTCTGACACGCAAGCCCGGGCGGGCAGCACCTACTGTGCGCCTTCACTGCGCGGGCGCTCCGACCATCGACTGGTCGACCGCGCCGCGCCGCTGACACCGTGTGACTGTCATGCGGGAGGTGGATAGGGGCCTACGTGAGCAGCGTGACGGTATCTCATCCTATCGCACGCACCTGTCCGAAGTGCCTCGTTCTCAAGTGTTCTGTGTGGTGTTGGAGAACCACGTAGGAACGAGGAGGCTACGACAACTGAGCCCCCTTGTGATTCGTGAATGTCAGGATATGTAGGGCCTTCTATGGACCCTGTTTAACGTGGATTTTCGAGACTTTTGATGCGGTTTTTTAAATCCATACCTTGTACCTCAATTTATATTTATCGAGCCTTCTAACAAATAATCTGCCCCTCAAGAATACCGGGTCTGGCTGTTATATGGTAGTATCGCTTCTCCGGCTTCCAGCCCATGTAACGGATGGACAGGACAAGCTGATCATTTCCGGACTCAGCGATCGGGTCGGTACATGAGCCCGCCCCGCTCCCTGTCCCGCCCCTCTCTCGCCATCACGCGTGCGCCCACATCCTGCTGTCTCACAACCTCTTGTCCTGTTCTTATCGGCACGTCGTGCCGCCTCGCCCGTGTCCCCGGGTTTATCGGATCCTGGTGGCGCCGGGTTTACCGTATTCTGGTGGCTGAGGTGCACGCCTTACGAAGTGGCCGTATGGGGTGGCCGTACGGAGTACGGAGTGGCCAAACTTGTGTGAGTGTGAGTGGCCTACAGAGTGGCCAGCCTTGTCCGTAATCATATGATAGCGTTTTCTCCTATAGCGCACTACGCGCACTACTGCTAGTATGGAACTGTTTGTGAGAGTCGGGTGGCTTCCCATCATCCTGACGGGAGACATCACCCTCACAACATTGCTTTGTGTAATCATGCAAGGGGTGGGGAATGTGCGACTTACCTGGATTTAGTAAAGCTAAAGTTCTTTACTACAGTACTGTGTTGTTTTCGAAAGAACAGGGTTACTTTTGACCACAGTGTGAACTCTTTACAATGTTGTGCGGAGCGGGTTTAGCCGGAGCGGAGACGCTGAAGTCATTTCTTCGACATAAAAGAGATTTACGACATCACAGGGACGGTCAAGTATGGTTTAATAAAGTTGGTTGTGGTCATTCGAGCGCCATGGACACTTTTTACAAACGTGCTTATTTCACCTATATTCGTAGTTCGTGTAGGCTCATGCATCGTCGATAGATATTTATAAATTTATGTGCCTCGGAACAGTGTAGGGAAGGAAAGGGAAACACTGTCATTTGGGGAACACCACTCATCTCAATACAATGAATATTTGGTACTGCACAGGAGGAGCTGACGGCCCTCTTCGACCGTGACGCCGAAGATGAAGAAAAGGGACCGGGACGCTCCGGTTTAATCTGATGCTGGAGCCTTTATCTTTGCATACTGTGATATTGATAGCAAGAACTTTTCGCTCACAGAAGACGACAAGGCAGTGTCAAGTCATTACATCAAGTTTAAACCCGGATTGAGAGGTTGTTGAAGCATCGCGTGCTTGCAGCCTATGCGTATAAGACATTTTTGAATGGAAACGTGAAAACTGACATAGCATGGTAGTAAATGTACTACCATACAATTCTCAATTCTCTTGGTACGGCCTCTGTTTTCGTTCGCTGCTGTCAATGCCCATCACGTATCATCGCCACTTCCAATGTCGGGTTTTCGCAGTAGCTTTAGAACGTAAATAAATACGGCTCTGCAATGTTGCGTATCTTTTCTATTCATTCGCACCTTGAAGCACTTTGTTTCTAAGGGTCTCGCGTGAGGGCGTCATTCGATGACATGTTGATGTGTATTTTGATATCATGATGATACCAACGTGCATATTATATCTGTGAAAAAGCGTCTTTTAACAGTTTGAGGTAATTGTTTTGACTACAACAGAAGACATGGTCTGAGCTAGGCTGGGCAAGGGTTATAGAAGTCATTCTGTATAACGTATCCATTGCTTAGGAAAAAAGCGGCGGAGCGGAGCGACGCCAGTTTTGTATTAACTTTCTATGCTTCCATTCTCCATTCTATGGTTCCATTTTTTGGCGGCGCAGCCGCAGCACAGCAACCTGGCATACCGGCACCCTGGCAGCATCGACACATCCACAGCACGGTACTCAGGGGGCACAGCCGCAGCACGACACCCGGCAGCACAGCCACAGCACGGTACTCCGGCGGCACAGCCACAGCACGGCACACCGGTGGCACAGCCACAGCACGGCACACCGGTGGCACAGCCACAGCACGGTACTCCGACAGCACAGCCACAGCACGGCACACCGGTGGCACAGCCGCGACACGCAACCATGGCAGCTGGCACATCAAATCATCCCGGCTACACCGTCACCCAAGAATCCAACAGATGGCGTACTCCCTCTTCCAATAGTCTTCGTACCACCCGCCCCCCCCCCCCAAAAAAAGTTATCGGAAGCGAGAGGCACATCCCTCATAATGAGCAACCACCCTGCAAAAAGACGACTGGAGGAGAAGGCTCAGCGGTAAAAGCGCTCGACGCCTTGTAAAATCAGAAAAAGCTAAAGTAGAACGAAAAAGAAGCAACGAAAAGAAAACGCAATAGGAAAATACTCCGGATCAGATAAAATATGTTTGTAGTGCTCAGAAGGTGTTACCGGGAAGGACGCGACGTGGCTTTTTTGAAGCGGATGCAGTTACTGAAACGTGCAGTAACGGGTCCAACACCACAGGGTCCGTTGGTGACAGGTTGTGCTATTAGGCACCTCGGTAGATCAGCGGTGTCGCAAGAATACACGTTGTTAATTACCTGCCAGTTTTTCACGGCACGATACAATGAGGAGAAATGAAAGAGAAATGAATCAATAGTTTTTCCCGTGCAAAGGAAAGGATAACGATTTATTGATTAACCCTGGAGCAGTTGTGAGAAGTCGGTATGCTTCGAAGGCATAGCAACTTCAGTGCACTCCGACTCTCAGGGTGACCGTCGTCAAATAACACCGCACGAAGTCCGATGTCATCTGAAATCTCAGCTTTGTAGCCCTGAGAAGAAAAAGGGCAAATATGACAACAACAAAAGCGGGAAATGTCGCCCCCTGAGCCCCCTGAGAAAGCCTCCTGGGCCCATATGGGCCTATATGCCGGCCAGGTACCACCGTACCACATAGTCGGCTCCGTGTAGGCCTAAGGACCCACTTCCCAATCACCCATAAGACTGGGGCCAGTGATTTACGCTGATCTGGAGCCTTGTATCTGTCAAGGGCCCACAGCGCCAAACAGAAGGCCCTGTGCTCGCAAGGGCCCAGAGCCGACCAAGGGAAGTGTTCGATGAGGTCCGAAGAAGGGCCCGGGCGGCCCACCGGAACCGACGATCAAAGGCTCGGTTGGAGGGCATGACGACCCGAAAGACCGGCTGTAGGTCACATAAAGAATCGTGGCCTGTAGGGTCGTAACCTGATATACCTGTCAGAGGTCTTCTTGCGCTGTTTCAGGAACCCCTGAGACAATGCGAGTGTCTACGTCGGTCAGAAACCACGAACGCCGAACAGTCGGCTCCATGTCCGTCTGGGCCCTTGAGACCCATTTTCCGAACAGAAATGAAGCCGGGGTCCGCGATTTGCAATGTTCGGAGTGCATAACACAATGAAGGGCTCCTGCGTTGGTTAGGGGCCACAGTGCCGAACAGGGGTCCTGTGGCGGCAAGTGGCCCCCGAGTCGGAGCGGCGTTTGGGGGGGCCCGAAGAGGGACCGGTGGGCCTCTCGAGACCAAAAGATCAAGGGCCCGATGGGCTGGCTGAAAGGTCCGAAGGGCTGACTGTAGGTCACACTAAGAACCCAGCCCCTCTTGCACAGAAAGGAACCCATGAGACAGAGCGTTTCTCTATTTCGACCAGAGATCAGCCCACGATGTACTGTATTTTTTCCTGTATCGTTCAGGGACCCACAATGCCTAACAGGACATTCTGTGCCAACAACGGGCCTCGATTCGGTAAGGAGAAGATTTGCTCAACAGGGATGGGGACGAGAGCCCGAATAGCAGAGGGACTCTTGCGTTGGTCGGGGTCCTCCGACAATTGAAGAAAACATAAGAGCTTATAATGAGTGCTCACACTGAGGTAAAAGAAGAATCCTTTGCCAGTCAGGGCCCCCAGTAACAAACGGTGGGCGCTCCCTCCCTATTCAAGCATGGGCCCGTTTAGTCCTAACTGGAGTCTATGTGCCAATTATTTGACCACCTGCGGCGAGTAGGGGTGTTGATGCATTAATGACGGTTCACGCGTCGATCCTGGGTCAACTGCGCGGGTCAGAGGGTTTATCACGTCAGGGAGCGGAACGATACGATATGATGTATCTATCTAAGGGCCTCCGGATCGGCCGGGGGGTGCCGCCCTGTGTCGCCAGAATGGCGGCCAGAAAACACACCGCGGTGGGACAGAGTGGCCCTACAGCCCTTGACCGAGAACAACAATGTGCTCCGTAGTGTTGTACTTAAGGGGACCCCTTTACCGAATGGAGATAAGGGATCTCCTTAGTGTTGGATGGAGTGGGTCGAAATGAGTTCCAAATGCACAAGGCCATCCCATGTTTTGTTGAGAACGTTCATTATTTTGCAGAATCAACTAGTAAAACAAATGCTATCAAAACGTTGGAGCCTGCGCGCCAGGTGCCTCTAGTGTAGTGATTAAAATGCCCGCGTTAACCACACCGCATCTGAAAAGCCACGGGTACGAGGTTAGATTTTCCACGATGTCTGCTCTTCCCGCCAGGGTGAGAAGCTGGCGGCGCCATATAGCTTAAACAGATAAGTGCGTCATATAGTCCAATTGATTCGCTCGTAATCTCGTGAAACAAGGGAAGCGATGGCTTGGTCATAATTTTCGCAAAACCGAACGACGTTCGCCACTGCAAGCAGCGCCGGTGGGGGGGGGGGGGCGGACCCCAAGCGCGCTCTGCGTCCGTCCAAAGTCCTGACACCTTAAGGTTACCCTTTAAGGTCAAAAGCGGTCTCAAAGAATGGGGAACTCTATATCACCCAAAATTTACTGGCTGATT